CGTTTGGCGAACGCCTGTCTGCAAATTACAGGCGCGTTACTTTTGCGTCCGTTTAAACGGAACTAACAGGAGCCATCTCTTCGCGGGGAAAAAAAAACGGATTTTTACGGAGTCGCCGATGGCAGGTTTATCGACGAATACGAGAGATTCCTGATTTTCGTTATGCATTTTTTGTCGACATGCGCGCGGAAAATTTGATGAGTCGACGGCCAAAGTAACCGGGGCCGGAGAGAGAGAGAGAGAGAGAGAGAGAGAGAGAGCGCTGTGAAATCGAAGTATGGCTTCGATATCCGCATCGATGAATCACCCGCAATTGATATGGGCCGAGAGCTTTCCTCTTTAGACATCAAGATCAAACGTTTTAACCAGTCGGTAAACACGCCTGAATTTGCTTGCGCGACTGAAATAGTGATATCGTTAATTGATCGCCCGTTTCAACTCCGATAAAAAGGCGATAAGCACGCGTAGACTATCATCATTTTTTTGTGGAATATAGTTCGCTGGATATTCCTTTGCTTCGTATTTCTGAGCGGAAGAGTTAAATACATCGCAATTTAATATTCATTTCATCCTGTGCGGCAATATTCGTAAAAAGATGTTGAAATTATTTAATGTGATATTATATATATTACAATATTTTATGCTGATGTCGATTTCTCCTGCACTCGTCCGGGTTTCTTACGTCTGTCGAGAGCAGCAAAACATCATGACTATTCCGCGCAGCGCAATCATTTTGCCTCTCGATGTAGCATGCGGAATTACAATCGTGTCGTTACCGGTGCGGAATCACCGGTGAAATTAATAGCTGTGCCGTACCGTCGAGGAAAGGACCCCGGCCATTGTGCGACTCCGCGGCTAGATGCGTTTCAATGACAATGAAAATCATTGCCGGACGGTTAATTAAAAGGTAATGAACTTCATGGTTATGTAGATCGCCTCGAGAACGATGGACGATGTTGGATTATGTCATGTTTGGAGTCTGCCGTCGCGGCAATTGTGAGCGAGAATACGGCGTGTTTCGGAGATTTGCCTAGTCCGCCGGGCATTGTCACACGATGAAATAATGTTTACCTTACAAATGAGAATGTGTTCACAAGTATCATTCCGCAATAAAATTTACAGTGACATTAACCAATAAAACCTTGTGCTTCTTATTCAAATTTAATTTACTACTTTTTACCCATTTACATTTTTTTATATCATTTTTTAACAATAAATCATTAACAAAAAAAAAACACAATTATGATATAATTGACACAAATTTTTTTATACTAAAAATTTTATGTCATTTTTATTATTCTAATTTTTAATTAATAAACAAAATATAGAATGGCTCATTTTTGCGACTTGGATCACGTTTTTATAGGGAGATGAGAATTTTCAATTTTCGATTAATGTATGCAGTTGTCCCCTTACTTTCGTCCTGAAATCCTCGAAATCCAATTGCGACGACGCATGGTCGATTTTGGTGCGTCTCGAGTCATTCGAACTTAGCATATCAAAGCCTTTATCGAGGCGAGTCGAGGGCAGCCGCCATCTCCAGATGGTCGAGTTGTCGATATCCCTCTGGAAATATTCCGGGAAAATGCGAAATTCAGAAAATACGCGTATACAATATACTCGCTTCCTCGGTCAAAAGTGACGTAAATACTCGCTAGCAATCCCGCTCGACAAATCGCGCAAATCAGAGCTCGTGTAAAACGCATCGAGCTAAAGCGAAAAGTGTAAATCACATAGCGATAGATAAAATGTTAAAAAATTGCCTGAGTATATCTCGTCGAAGAAAAAAGATCTCTCTTACTGTGAGATTCGATTAGTGCTAAGCAAACCAAAATATATGCCAAATAAAGTGTTGAAACTGATAAGAGATTTAAAATATAAGTATTTATAACAAAAATAAACAAACATATTAGGCATAGTTTTTACATATTTTTAATGTTAAACTACATTGATATTGATTAATTTTCATTTTGACACAGTTAACAAGTTAAGATTTATAAAGTTGTAATATCAAACATTTTATTATATTGTCATGTGTATGTTTATTTTACAATTTAATATTTTGTAATTTTATAAAAGACTTTGCATTTTGGAATTACATTAAAGTTAATATACATATGTGTGTGTGTAGCAAAAAAAAGGAACCAAAAGGAATCAACAGGATAAATCAATATATATGTAGATATATATCGATTTATCCTGTTGATAGTTCCTTTTTCTGCTATAACTTTATTCAGTACGATTCTTTTTGTGTAGTAGTTATTCTTTTTGGCAGAACGGATTTTGATAGCTTTCTGTGTGACCATCCGAAAACCGCTTCTTGCTTCTGGAACGCTTTTTCCGGGTCATCTCCGATTACGTTCCTGCCGCGGTAACCTCGTATCTCGTTTCGAACCCAGATCGAGCGATCGCCAGCTCCCATTTTTCTACTTCTCCAGGTATAATGGGAGAACACCGAATGGCGGTCTCTCTATGAGCCTGAAAATAATAGAAGCGCTTCCGCGGCTCTCTTTCTCCCTCCCTCTCGTCGAGTGTTCTTTGAGGACTTCTGACGGGTCGTGAGTGCTCGCGTTATGGTTTATGATGAATATGTCGTATCGTGTTACTCGATTAATGCTTTCTTCATCGTTCTTTCTGCTCGTCGAGAATAATTCCCTTCTTCCATTCTTCAAAATAGATCTCTCCATTTACGGTACTTTCGTGCTCCCTGCGCTCTGCTTTTATATTTCCAGAGTCTTGAGACGAGTTTAAATTCTAAAGCATGAGCTCTAATTACTTTATTGTTAAACTATCTGACGCTATTTTAAAAAAATGTGTGTGTGTGTGTGTGTGATGCTTTCTACACGCAATTTGACATTATTATTTAATTTGTGATTGATATTTGCTGGATAAAAATAAGACATAAAAAATTTATCAATAATTAAGAAATAATTTTAGGCCTTATAGCGAAATAAATCAAATAGTTCAAAAAATGCCAATAAAAAACTGATATTGGGCGCTGTGTAAAGTATATATTATTTATACGTCAATAAACAAAATTAATACATATGTAAACATTTTAACCCTTAATTTTTGGGTCCTCTTCAGGGATTATAATATTGATTCATATGAATAAAAAGAAGATAACAGTATTAAACGTTGTCCGAAAATTCCGATAGGTTTATGGAAAGTGAAAAGAAGCAGTGCATATTCAATATACGTTTCTTTTTACTTTTCACCTACCGGAACATTCGAACAACGTTTAATATTGTTATTTTGTTTTTTTTTGTTTATAATATATCAATATTGTATTAAAGAGAACCTAAAAAATAAGAATTGAAACGTTTACTTACGTATTAATTTTGTTTATTAGTATTTTTTAAACTGATAAATGTGCTTCTTTTGACTGATAATAAAACATTAAGCACTAAAAAACGTACGAGTATTAAATCGAGTAAACTATGTTCGCTGCTTTAATAAATTACATATCTTTTTACAACCTATTCCTTGTGTATAGTTAAGAGCTAGAGTTTAATTTGCATGCGATGCAAATGATCTCTATTACGAGACTTTGTAAGAACCGTTGGAACAAAGTTACAAGTAAATCACGTTCTATCAAATACAGCTATCTCGAATCGTTCCGGGCCATAAATTGGCAATCCCCTTGAAATCCTCCAATTTAGCTCGGCGAAGTAAGCCTTGCTCGCTCGGAGGAAAACCGGAAATGATAAGCTAAGTGTCATAACGATGGCTGCGCACAATGCGTCGTATCCCTCGGGACGAATATAAGGGAAAGACGATGTTTTTTTCCTTTTACGCTACACTTGGAGCTGCTCTCTGTGCAAACGGCAGATTAAATCAATATAGCCCTTCTTTACGCAACGCTCGCGTAGCTTCTCGAGCTACCGAGCGGTAAACTAAATATAAACATGAGAAAAATGGCTGTCAGCAGCGGCTGCTTTGTACAACACGTCGTGGAACACGCATGGACGAAAAGGCGCTCGTATAACGTATACTGGCATCATAAGTTCACCATCTTGCACGACCATAAAAGTCCGTGCCGCTTTTATCGTAACTAGTAAAATAGCGCGCGCCCGAGGGCGACTCGCACAATGGTGTCGTCATCGCTGCAATAATCGTCGCAAATAACAGTCGCGTAAAATTCTTTCCTAAACATGACGCTATCATTACGTTGCATCCTGCCTAGGGCTGCCATCTGTAAAATTACTATTCTAGGACTGTGAGCTCTAAAACCCCGGATTTTATAGCTTAAAACCCGGACTTTTTTTTAGTGTTAATATTAATTTTCTTATTGCAAATTTCAATTACTTAATACATCATATCAGACTATGGCTTGTTCACACTGGTTCACACTGTTCACAGACACAGATGACAGGACGCATCAGTGCGTT